CAGGGTGCCGTGGCGTGCAGTTGGGACTCCTTCAGCTTTCATAAAAAGGACGCAAAAGAGCTTTCAACTAGATTGCAATGTATTTCCCATCGGCCCGGCGGTATTTGAACGCTCATGGAAGCACCGCACCCAGTTTATGTCGATCGCTCTTAAAGGCAACTGTGGAGCGTCATGTCCATTGTGATAACGGAGAATTGTACAGCTGCTGAAGTAAGTATTCGCGCGTCCTTACTGTCAATGTGAAGTTTGACAGTGACACTCCACTACCATCAACGTCAAAAACACCAGATTATCCTTGTTAATTAAACAAATTGATTAGGTTTTAATTGTGGACAATGCTTTTGTGTTTTCTCCCTTCCAATTCTGAAAAACAACTTGGTGTTTCCTGAAATGTGGAGAGCCAAAAGAGGCACTACACACCACACAACTCCCCAGCTATTGTCGTGAGCGACCTGTCCGCTTTGACAAACCTCGTGATAATTCAACAAGCATCTGGTGATCTGGAATGAAACAATAATTCCATACGGAAAAGTCCAACCCTGTCTCTAAAATAACGCTCCCACAGAACTAACTGCATTCCCCCAATTACGTTTAGCGAGGAACGTATTTTCCTCCCCACGTGAACGTTTGTGATGAACGTTTCTTAATGACGTTTATTTGTCTACATATTTTGCCCCCATTTATTGTCTTATCTTATAATAATGATTAATAGTCCATTTATAAATATCATTTTAGAGCACACATTTGAAAATCGAGAATCGGTGCTGATAGTATGGTTAAATTACAATCAGTAGGGCGAGGCTGTGTAATTTCGGCCCAGCTGCAGGGCTGCCTCGCTCCGTCATGAGCGAGGCAGAAAATAATAGTTTGTTAACATGCCAAAAAGCTGCCTGTGTCGTTTTTTGCAACCATCAAACATTAAACAAATCCAGAGTTACGTGTTTCTGTATTTCCTTTAAGAAAGAAAGGAGAGTAAAAAGATCTCTGTGGCTTCAGGCTTGATCCGCCGTTCAAATAAAGCGTGGTTTCCCCAAAGTGGCGGGGCTGTAACTGTGACGTAGATTTTACTGTCATCTATTCAGGGGTGTCCACCAGGGACTTTTGGGCCGCACTGAAAATATGATCCGACATTCGGGCCCCAGCCACCAGGCACAGGCCACACCACCAAGCACAATCGCTGTAACCACACCATCCTGAACCCAACCCGACTCATTTAGCTTTAAATAACTACCTGTTAGCAGGCTTGCATCTACTTGTACCGTCCAATACTAACCGACAAATTTATATATGACACTGAGCCCGGATAAACATAATAAAACTGTGCAGACGTGCAACGATTCTTTAATTAACTATTAGTAGAGAATAATGATTAACGAATATACTTTATAGAGATCTGCATAAATGTTTACATCTTCTCAAGCACGCAACAAATCAAAATATCTCTCGGATTGTTTGGCAGCTTGACAATCAACCTTTCTGCAATTTTACTCAGGTCGTAACTAAAGTCGCTGCGCCTTTAAGGGTTGTTTATATTTCACATCCATTAATCAGAATCTGCAAAGTAACTAAAATTAAATGTTAGGAGTAAAAATACCCAGGTTAACCTCTGAATTTTAGTGGAGTAGAATTACCAAAGTAACAATGAGCTGTCATGTGGGTATATATTGAATACTGCCCATTATGGATACAAGCGATTTTCACCCATTTAGTTAATTACATGGTTTTAAATTGTACACACCAATTTGTGTCCTACTCCCGCCTAAACCTCCAGGGCCTTGTACAACAGTTATATACCTGTCAACCTTCTAATTTCTGGGAAAAACAAAAACGGTCTTTTAAAACTACAATTCCCAGTAGAGACGTGCCACAGAGAACATGTTCGAAAAAAACATATAGCCCAGCATGTGTAGTTCTGGGGGAGCGTTCGAGTCCAGTTTTGAATAGTGCTGCCGTGTTTCGTTCTCAATTTCAAAGAGCTCTGACGCCGGTGTAACCTTGGCGGCCAACTTGCCACGCCAACATCCAAATCCGCAGACGCTTGAAGACTAATCACGTGGGTTTGTCGCATAGCACGGGGTTCCAAAGTGGGGTCATGAGATGATTACAAAAATAAAAAATGGAAAATTACAAAAAAAAAAGATTATACACGAAAATTTGATTAATTTTTTTTATAATTTTTTTTTTTTAATTTTCCATTTTATTGTTGGAGAGGCGGCGTCATGCACCCCCACCGTTTGCGGAACCCTGCTGCTATGCGACAAACCCCGCTGATTAGTCTTCAACTCTGGGATTTGGATGTTGGAGTGGCAGTGCGGCAAGGTTACGACCGCAGCGTCAAGCTCTTTGAAATGGAACGAAACCACGGTAGACTATTCAAAACTGGACTCGAACGCCCCCCCAGAAC